AGTCCCTACTTTTTCCACTGAATTTGGTAAACAATGACACTAGTGGAACATCTTTCTCTGCGGGTGAACGATGGCTTGGGATCTCATCAAGAAATGACGAGGAGTGTGAAATAGGAAAGGGCGACGAGGTGTTGATTCTCCCTCACGGGAGGCGTCGCGGTGGTGGTGGTGGTGGTAATGAAGGGGCCATCGTACCAAAAAGTGCCAAACAAGGGGACACCAGTATGCCAAAAACGTCCGTACCGACTTGCCTGGCTCTGGAAAACATTCCCATCGAACGACGTGTGGCGGTGCCGTTGGGCATTCCACTGCTGTCCCATGCCCGTGCTGAGGAAACACGGTCAGATACGTTACCGCAAGATGTAAAATGCCTCCAGTCACACGATGACGGTATTGTGGATCACGCTCCACTTGTCTTGGAGGGTGTCCAGAATGAACTTTTTCGGGGGAATTGTCCTACTGAAGAAGGGCCGAGGAGGCGACATATCCCGACACGTGAAGCCGGGGTGCCCCTATTGCAGTGTAAGAAAGGTTCTTGTGTTACAGAAGAAGCATTGGAACCTGCCGAATCAGAGACGGGATCATATTTGGGGAGGAGACAACATTTTGATGTGCGGCTGGAGCGTTCATATCTATATTGTTGCGGTGCCACAAGGATTGAGGGTGGCGTTACAGCTGATGCCTTCAGTAGGATAGAAGCCTGTCGGTCAGCATGGTTCTCGGGCCTTATAAGTGCGGCAAGAAAGGTACTTGCCAGAGTGTATGGAACGTGAGGAATCCTCTTGTTTTTTTTTTTTTTTCGTGTGTGTTTGCTTTTGGTGAGTGAAGCACCATGGCAAGAATGATGGCTTTTATGGGGGGTAAACAAACGCAAAAGGAATAAATATGAAAAGAGAAAACGGTGTATTTAAGCAATCGCTCCTTTTTTTTTCTCGGTTGCGCCCCCTCCCTTTGTTGGGCGTTCCTCAACGCTTGGAAGGGAGTCGGGGCTGTCAAGAGGGAAGGGAAAGAGGTAGGAAAGGAGAGAAACAGCTGAAAGGAGGAGCGTGTTTTTTTTCCTCCCCCTCTTGTCAAGGAGTCAAAAGTGGATTTACAAAAAAAAAAAAAGATATATTTGCGTTCCACAACAACAACAACAACAACAACACGTGGTAGTATTTTTGCTTCCCTTGAGAGCGGTGGGGTGACAACAATGCGTTTGTTTTTGTCCCCACAGGAAAAAACAAACAAACTCGAATGCTTGATTTGCGGAAAAGGCGCTGTTGTTGACGCATGTGACGACGGGCAAAACGGCAGCTGCTACAATAATATAAATATATATTTATTATTATTAATTTTTTTTTTTTGGTTTCTTATTTGGCAAGGGGTGATTCGGCGAAATGGTCTTTGAGCTTTCAGAATTTGGCGAGCATAAGGGGCACAAACACACCCATGGCGGCGCTGTCGCCGTTCCTTTCATGGGATTAGAAGAATCGCACGATGGTGCCGCTCATTATGTGAAGTTGGAAGAAAGACACGATGGAGCGGTGGTGTTTAAAAAAAGAGTGGTGAGGGCCTGTGTTTGGCTAACGGCGGTGGCGGCGGTAATTTTTGCGGGATCCATGCTGCTGTTTCAGATTGCGTCAAGAGAGTTGATAAAGAAAAACCGCGCGCTCAGTATTTCTTCGGTGGTAGGGAACTATTGGCTCACCTACGAGCACGTGTACCCCGTCCGGGACGAAGAAACCGAGAGAAACGGAGAAGAAGCTGCGTGGCCTTACGCTTTATATCGTCTATTCTGTACTTGTGAAAGAAATTTGGCTTCTGAAGGAAAAAAAACGCCTGCGAACACATCGAGTAAGTTGCTTGTGTTTTTTATACACGGAAATTTGGGGGCATACGATGAGGTCTCTCAACTTGGGTGTGTTGTGTCTCGAATGATCAGCATAACGAGTGAAGTGTATACCTTTGACTTCCTGCAGCAAGCGAACATTCACCGTGGTAAACTCCTTCAGCAACAGGCGGCTTTTGTCGCACACACCTTGGGATTAAGGCGATGGGGAAGTAAGTCCAAAAATATTACGAGTGCCATGGAGTTCCAGGGGGAGGAAATGGCGGAACCCACGGATAATCTTGAAAAAAAAGACGATGGGACTGGCGTGTGGATTGTTGGTCACTCAATGGGTGGCGTGGTTGCGCGTCTGGCAGTGGAGATGATGCGGAATTCTGGGACCTCTATTTTTTTGGAAGGCGTCATCACACTCAATACACCACATCGTTATCCTCCCATCTTTATGGATGCTGCCATGTTTAGGATCTACACTAATCTGTGGCAGCCGTCTGATCGGGGCTTGTCTTCAGAGAAGTCGTGGCATCGAGCACCACATTTATACTCTCTCACCTCAGGTTCATTGGACCTTCAGGTGGAGCAGTGGTTGACAAATCTTGCTGGACTAGATGAGAAGCGGTTCCCACATACAATGTTCCGTACAGAGGATCCAACTGTTTGTGGAAAGTCGTTATCACATACGGATATTGTGCGAGACTATTGTGTTCTCGAATTTGTTGCGAATATCATTGCGAAAAAAATTACTGGATTAAGGCACACACCAATTCACGCCCGCAATCCACTGGCCAACTCTTCTGGTGGCGTCACTGCGCCTTTGTGGTGGGCAAATAAGAGTGTAACGAGCCACACACTCCCTGTTGCCGCATTATCTTTTTACACCGCATTGGTGCTCTCCGCCATCTACCCAACTGTTTTCCCTCCAATGGCCAATCAACGTTTTATATCTAATCACCGTATTTCTTGTTTTTGCTGGGGGCGTCAAGTGGCACTGCCGCGAGGGATACCAACGATGGGTGGCGCGGTGATTGGTTCTCTTTTCATTGGTATTTGTAGCCGGATTTTTTTTGTGCAGCTTCGCTGCTTTTTTTTGCCCTGTTCCTCCATATGCGGTCTGCCGTGGGTCGCCGACGATCTTGCATGCATTTCTGAAGCAGGATGCAGCCATTTGCCGTCGTCTTTTGTTGCTTGGCTTGGTCCAGCACTCCTCGGGTCATGGGTAGGATTATTGGTTTATTATCTGATTTGCGGGTTGTTGCGGTTGAGTTTACTTATTTGGACGGTGCTGGGGTCATGCCATCTTTATAAAACCCACTTATTACGTCATATTCGGCCAGGAGTGAATATGGGGTACTGCTTCTTCATGCTGGTATACCCCGTTACCGCGGTGACTAGTACTGTATTTTTAGAGTTGTATCAACGTACGATTGTGTGGCTTGCTTTTATATTATTGATGATGCCATTACGTGTTTCTTTGGAGAATGCTGCAGCCAACACACCCCAGCCTACCGCGAGTGCCGATGCCTCTGCCCCTGTGGCAGTCTATGCCTTGTTGCATGCCCTCAACGTTCAGCCCACTTTTGCGCGGAAAAATAAGAAGTTATCTGGCACGGCCGACAGCAACAATATATTGGATGAATGCATCCGTGTGTCGGAGGTTTTGCTGCATGTATTGTTGTTCACACACTTTTTGTGGCCCATTTTTCGCTCGTTTGTCCTTCAAAAAGGTGGATATTTGCCTCTTTTAAAATTATCTTCTTCACGTGGGTCATTTTTGTGCATGGCAACCTCAGTTGTTTTTATCCTCATTTACATGTCGGTTTTTGCTATGAACAGACTCCCCGTAGAGGTGTTCCGCGTTGTGTGGACGCTTCTGTGGGGGTTTCCCGCCTTCCTGTTTGTCAGCACAGTGGGCTTGGACGGAGTGCTCGTTGAGCGTTTTGCCTCGACGTCCTTTAGGGTTATTTGAGGCGCGGGTGGGGGAGCAATATGTGGACTGCTGCCCCACCACCACCACCACGAGCATCTCCCAGGCGACGATGCATACGCCGTGGGGGCTTTCAAGGTTTTTCTTAGGAGTTTTTGCGAAGAGAATGGTCGCAGGGGAGAGCTGGGTAACTTCATTAATGCATATATGTATCCTGATAAAAGGAATAAATTGCTTTCAGACATTTTTCTATCGTATAGAATTTTTGGGAAGGCCACGACTTTTAGGAGGATCAGGGAACCGATAGCGGCCGGATAATTTTTTATTTTTATTTTTATTTTTCGCATCTCACCTAACTCCCTTTTGATTCCCACCGCTTGCGCGGCGGGGTCTTGTGGTTGGAGGAGCCCAAAGTCTGCCACTTCGTAAGGAATAAATAAATTTATATCCAATCCGAATAGAGTGAGCAGGGCCACAATTGAGGCTATCGGATGATATATATATATATATATGTGTGTATATATACACTTACTTGGCGTTAAACTTTGTGGTGAATCCATTTTTATTCCATTTATCCCTTTATCATTCCCATCTGTTTTTTTTTTTTTTTTTTTTTTTTATGGGGGAAATTCAAAATTTGGCCAGCGGCCCAGGCGAATATTATTCTAAATAAAAACAAAAAGACTCTCTGCTTTCCTTCCGTACTTATGCACATGATGTATTGCGTGGGTTGCTTTCATTCCTTCACACACGTACAAACAAACAACGCGTGTGGTCACCATGAAAAGGTGCGGCTGCTCCTTTCTTTATATTTCTGCCTTTTTATTTATTTATTTTTCTTTTCTAATGTTGCCTTTTTTTCTGCGGGCCTGTGGGTGGTTTTGTTGTTGCCTTTACGATGTTGCGAGGGAGGATTCATCCGTTTTTATAGCCAATATTCCGAAGGTTGGAGAAGAATTAGTGGTAGTGGGGAGAAAAATAAGGGGAAAAAAAAAAAAAAAAGCAAAAGGGCAAGAAGAAATTAACAGCAACAACAACAAAAAGAAATAGGAAAGGAAAGGAAAGGAACAATAACAATAACAATAATAGTAATAAAAAAAAAAAAAAAGACAAAAAGTAGATTCAAAGGCAACAACAGCAAAACAAAAAAAAAAAAAAAAGCTCATAAGGCGTTAGGGAGAGTGACGACACACTGGTTTACTCGGCCTCACCCGGAAGAACATATTTATTTTTCCTGGTGGCCGTTGGATGTCATCACGTTATCGCGAGCTCATCGCGATTTTTGGTAAATTTCTCGAGCAAAATGATTTCCATGTACGAATTTCGATGGATAGGGTGGGGGAGGTGAAGACCCTATTCAGCGCCAAAACAATTCCGGTCGAGAGTGAAACGGAGGCCACAATTGAAGTCGTCACTATCGAGGCGGCACGCCGCCGTGACGCACTGCGCCGTACATGCAATGCGGTGCTTCGGACCCGACACTCAGACCAGCACGTGGATGTTGGGACCATAGTCGCCGATGAGGAGGAACGACTGGCCTGGAAGTTTCTCATTGGCGCATTGACGGCAAAAAATTCTGAGATTCTTCCTGTTGTTGAGGCAGAACTGCTGCGTGCGGCGGTGGAATACCACTATGCCACCGCCCGGCCAGAGTTGTGCGACATGTTTGTACACCTGAGCGCAAGTGAAATGTTCTTCATTGATGGGGATTCACTTTTCATGGCCGCACTATCCCCGCAAAGCGTGGACTGGGACCTTATCCAACCATTGCATGTCATTTACAATGCGCAAAAGCTTTTGTATGACATGCATTGTCGTGGAGCTCGTTTTCACGTTGTCTTTTTTGACAGTTTGTTGTGGATATGGGAGTCGGCACCTGCAAAGCTCTTTATGCGTGAAAACCTACGTAAAACATTGATGTCTCTGGCCGAAAATGACGCGAAAGTTGGTCTTTCAATATCCAACTTTTCCAGTTATCACTCGGAGGCCTTTGAGACGTACGTCAAACAGTGGGAACCGGAGTTCATTTTAATGTCCGATGGAGAGCAGCTGGGTAGACTTAATCCACTGCAAGCCTTTTTTGTGCACCCATCTGCGGCAAATAACACTCACGATTCCAGAAGGAAGGCGAACTACACGGATGCCGATGAGGCAAATCCGTACCGTCTCAGGCGACGGTACCGGAGTATAGTGGAGGATGAGGCAGTCGGTGACAAGGCGGCTTTGTACTACCGGTGCATGCATCTTTGGGCAGCGACACGACGGCTGAAAGTGGCATACTCCTCCCGTATCATCTACAAAGAAAACGCCATGGTGGTATTTACCGTTCGCGTAGACGGTGCGAGCTTTGAGCGTGCAGTGACTATTGAGTCTGACGTGCAGGCATTGGCTCAGTCAATGGAACACGAGGTACAACTTCCTGCTATTTCTTCTGCATCTTTGGGATTACTGGATGAGGAGGATTTGTCCTGCCGTGAACGAGTAGTGTATGCCGCCTTGCATGCCTACTTGAGGGCCAGTGCGAGGAGCGAACAGGAGCATCAGCTTTGCCAGGCACTTGCCATTACAACATACATTACAGGGTATCTAAATAAGGAGGCTCGGGCGCAGCAAGTTCGACCCAACCCTATCCTTGCAGGTTTCTTGAAGGAGATATCACCGTTTCTTCTTGCTGTATGGCGTCATGCTGATTGCACTAACGGTAATGGGCAGGAGTTTGACCTTATTGATGGCCACCTATTCTCAGCCGTTTCTCAGCAGTTGCGCACAGCGTCAGTCTCAGAGTTGTTTGACGAGTATGGTGTTGAAGACATCGAGTCCACATGGGGTGTTTTGGACGATCAAGGAAGTGCGGATATTGTCAACGCACCGCTTTCGAATTTGCCAGTAATTGACTCTATGGATGTGGAAAAACTGCAGCCGTATCCGCTCATCACGCATGAGTTGGTGGAGCGCCTTGCAAAGGGGTTTGGCATTTCGACACATCGTGCAGATGCACCTTATCCAACTGATTTTGGCGCCGCAAACGAACTCGCCGGGTGGGACATCACAACACCGTTTGACAGGCTCAATGATGTGATCGATGCTGAGGGTGACGCGATTGCGAAGAGCATGATGACTGAGAAGGAAGCCAAAAATGTGCAGGAGTACTATAAAAAGTTTGTGCGTAATGCTCTTAAGCAGGCGCAGTCCATGGGAATTAGTGGGTTTGCGGCCCATGAACTGGCCATGGTTTGCTCAGACAACGACTCGGATGATGACGCTGGCGGTAACAGCGCCAACAATAAAACTGCAGGAGCCAAGAAGGTAAATAAGGAGCACGCGGGGCAGCGCAACAAGAAGGAGCGCAGTAAGGAGGATGAGATTCGTGAGCGCAGCAATGTTATTGCTGCCACTGCAACTGTCGCTGAATGGCACAAGCAGATGAATCACCTCCTGCACGCTGTAGACATGAGCCACGGACGCACCACCAATAGGGATCGTGACGAGTCGATTAACACCATCATGGCAGCCATCAAGCGGCTCTCTCAGGAAAAGTTTGGAAAAAACTTTGACCCAGGGTACACGCTTGGTGGCTCCACGAACACTGCGGTTCCCCTCAAACTTGAGATGTGGCGTTTG